TAATCTAATCACACGACGGACACAACTTGAGCAATATTTTAAAAATAAAATTTTATCTCTGGCCACCTTTCACTGTAAGAGGAACTTGATGGTGTGTTTAGATAAAGAAGATTGATCTACTCAGCTTCTCCAGGCGGGCTGACACCAGGGACCTGGGAAGGCCTTTCAGAGTGGTCCTTATGGTGCCATGTGTGCTGAAATCAGGGGCCCTTCGCTAGGGGCCATTTGGTCTCAGTACAGGTGAAGTAGGAGTATGGTCTGTATTATAGGTCAGACCAGTTCACGGTGTATATTGGACCCTGATAGGGCTGCTCTCTGTCACCGGCTCTGTTCATGACCTTCATGGACAGAGTTTCTAGATAAGCTATGGGCTGGAGAGGGTCTGGTTTTAGGGACCAGCAGATTTGATCTCTTATTTCTGGAGATGACGTGATACTGCTGGCTTCCTGCTGCCACCTACAGAACGCTCCACTGGGAGGATGACCCAGGACACAATGGAGGGACTGTGTGTCTCAGCTGGTCCTAGAACACATCAGGCTTCCATCAGACCAGCTGGGAGTGGTGTTCAGAAAGAGAGAGAGAAATATAGGCATAAATGTACTTTTTCTTTTTATTCTTTTACAGTTAAAACTATGTGTGTATAAAGGTCCAGTTAATTATGAAAATAAAAAATAGAACATATTCTATAAAGGTTTAGTAAAAGTTTTAACCTTACATTATGTTTATAATTTGAGGAAATAAAGCAAAAGTTATATCCTGATTATATATTATTAATCACCTTTCAGCCTGTTTTTATGATATAAAAAACAACGTTTGGGCTACAATTATTAGATATCTAGATGTAAATGAAATTATTTGCAAAGTCTTTGTAGAGTTGTAACCCTGGAAATAATTTAAATTTTTTTAAATAATTTTCAAATTGAAATCAGCCAATATTACACATAACAAAAAGTCACAGAGGCAACTGCGAATAAAGCTTTATTATCTGAAACACAATAGAGTTTCTGCTTTTATAACAAGTCATCTTTCATTCATTCAAGACATGTTCCCTGTAAATGTGATAATGTGATGTAATTTTAACTCAATAATTTCAGATTTTAGTTTATCAAATTATGTTTTGAACCCAGAACCGATGATGCTATTCTTACAGTTAGATTACTATATTTAACGAGGAAAGCATCTTGGGAAAGCTGATCTCTGCCTGAACCTGTTCACTGGTGTATTAACCTGCTGTGGTTTCATGATCTCAGAATGAAACTGGACAGCTGTTCTCATCTGTAAATGTTCTTGTAAAAAGTAAGAATGCACTGAAAGAATCATCAAAGATCAAAACTTGCTTAACATTGAAACAATGTACAGAGATATAAAGTGATTATAACATTACAACTAAGAAGAATGCAGACACGGATTCAGTGAGATGAAGAATTAAAATCTAAATGTATTCAGATTAGAAAATGAATGAAAATCACAACAAATGCTGCCTTTAATCCAAGAT